CTATGCGCCTGTTCTGTGCACAAGCTTCCCGGTATCAGGTATACTGAAGTACTGTTCGATGCTCGACGAAGGTGTTCATAATAGACAATCCGCTATTTGCACAAAACCGAAACAACTTAAAGCAGTTATTGTTGAGTTCGCTAGGGCCGATTTTTTTCAGTCACGCCGTTTCAGTTTTCTTCGTCCACTCCGACATGGGCATTAAAGTCGCTCATGATTAGGAGGTACTCTGTATTCGGCACTTCGAACAGAGCACACTGTACTTCCTCAACGAGGGTATTATATTCTTCCTGTAAATTTGTCTCATGGACCTATATAAAGCACATCGCTTTCGCCTGTTATGGCTTAGTCGGAGGATTATCACCCTTCCTCTGATAGGCTTCCAGTTAATGATTCTTTTTGCGAGGTTGGGTTCTACCAGAACACCAACACCGGCTTGAGCGCGCCTCGTGATATTGACACCTGGGTGGAACTGTTTCCACCCGCAGATGTTCAGGATTACAGAGCCTTGGCGTTTCTTTGACGAAAGTCCAACAATATCGAGTTGGTACTTTATGGCCTCATCAGCCAACTCTTGTTCTTTCCCTCTGACTGAGGTTATATTCCAATTACCGACTGTAAGCTACCACTGGCGGTGTCGTTCTCGTGAAGCCTTTTCTGACGTGCCATAATAGCATCGCTCTGTCTGCCCCATCCGTTTAGAACTGGTAGGGACTTTGTTGCGGACTGGTATCTTCGTCGTCGTTCCGCCCGTCTTCATAATCCTTTGTTGTGCTGCTACTCCCCGTTTCGTATAGGACGATGAGCAGGTTCTGTTCGCCGACTTTTGGCACTTTGCCTCAGTCGCTCAACAGCCTGCCCGGCCCTACGTAATCTGGGCGATTGAGCCGGTGTGCTTTTCGATGGCATCAGTACCATGATTGGCAGGTGGCGAAGTTTTACGGAGAGCTGGGAACGGTCTCCAACTGGGCTCCTGTCTTAACCGGGCTTGGGACTGGCAACGGCAGAGGTTGCTAATCCTTTGATCATAATTTTTTTAACTGATGCTTGACGTTACCCTGATGATCGCGTCCATCATCAGATGAGTTCATCGCCCGTCATCTATTTATAGTTTACGCGTTGTTTATCACTTGAGTAATTGTTTAAGCCATTGCGAGTCGTGTTGTCTACGGATGGCGTCTAAATTGCTGTCTGCAACTTGTTACTGTTTTCGCACTGAATCATTGTCTGGTTAATTGCATTCTCAGTGGAAGGTTTTTGCCGCTATTGGGATTTGGGCCTGGTGCCGTTCGTATGTAATGCCGACGAGAAGCCGCTACATGCCGACTCTGCTATTATACGTTGTTTAAGTCATATTTTGTGTAGCAGCCGCGTTACCAAGAGTTACACCGCTTAATAACGTCGGTCGAGTAGATTTTTGTTCATGAAGTGACTTGGCTTTTGGTTTATCGAATAGCCCATGCTGAGGCACCGTTGCCGCGTTCCTCTGTTTCGAGATATTTCGGGAACGTTCAAACCAGAGCATGATTCCATGGTATTACTGCAACTGCAGTGCATATAGATGCAAGATGCATTCCGACAAATTGCCACAACTTATATCCGTTCCTGTGCTGGCGCTATAATGCCATGGAGCTGTGACCTGCTTAGACGAGCCGTAGAAAACCGGAAGCAAGGGCCCCTACGACTACGCCCTGGTAATCCTCATTATGACAATTTTTGATTTACACGTTTCGTAAGCTGAATATTTGATATTCTCAGATTTAAATATTCTCAGACTTTTGAATAATTTTTTGATACATAGTTAAAACGTCCGAATGTAAAATATTACTCGTTTTACGTATCGGTCAGTACCTTTGAATACCGACGTGAGTAATGTCGTCGATTTATACACTCCTGATTTTCAGTTCTATTTCTTCAGTCCTGATGAAATGAAATGCGTTGACCTTTGAGCAAATCCTTACCCGTACCAGCCGTTTTTAATGCGGAAACATAAAAAGGTGCATCAAGCAACTATTCGGTTAGTAATTAGTGGATTCGTGATCAATGAAAACCTTGACAATTGTTTACTGTCATTTGCGCGCGAGAAGAATATTTTAAAAACTCTTTCTAACCTTTGAGTTGCGATTGTACGTGTTTTTTGCGTCCCATCTTTGTCCCACTTTAAGGAATCGTTATGATGCGTACGAATTTTTTTGAAGCCTCTAGTGTTTTGCCTTAAACTTCACGCGGTAACATATTTGCAGGATGTACGAACGGAAGAAGGCGAGCTTGCAGCGACTAGAAGATCAGTTGCAGAAACTGAAACTCCATGCAACCGACAAGGTAAAACTGGTTCTTCTCTCTTGTTTTGAAACGAAATTTGCGAATAGGAGGAAAACAAAGAAATTGCTCTCGGGACTTCTAAACTGAACTACCTAGACCCACGTATATCGGTGTCTTGGTAAGCATTTGCGTTTCGGTACGTACCAAATCCTTGTGTTGGTTTTTTAGGTGTAGAAAGTGGAATGTTCCTATTGAAAAGATTTATAATAAGACGTTACGTCAGAAGTTCCGATGGGCTATCGAAATGGCTGGTCCAGACTTTGTTTTCTGAATTTCGAAGTCGCCGAGAAAGGCGTTTTCAGTGGCTACCGCGGATAATTATATCTTCGTTAATTAGTGGTTGTTTTGTCGGCGTCACTGTTCTTATAGGCATGGTTACTGCCGGTTGTTTTAGTAACTTCTAATTGTACAGCCACGTTACTTCTCATGAAGTTTTATTATGTTTGAATCGTTTATTGTTTCTCGATGTTAAGTAAATCTAAGGCTCATTCCCGAAAAGCCGTTTCTCATACACAGTGCTAATTTTCTTTCGCACATGAGCGCAACGGCAGTTGTTGCTGGTTTGCCCCTCGTAATTTCATAAATGTGTATGGTGGGTAGTCTTCGATGTTCGCCTCACTAGACAACGTCTCTTCTAAACAAGCGCAACTGCTGTATTATCCCGTCGTCATTTCCGTTGCAGAGAAGCACGGTTTCCGTGCACTCACGACAACTGAATTGACACTAAGAAAATGATTTCGCGAAGCGCATACGAACGTCGTAACTTTTAGGTGTGTTCCGGGGTATGTCTTTTTGTATTGTGTGCACAGAGTAAAATTTTGGCCTATGGTTCGGACATTTTTTCAGACTGCATGACATTAAATTGCGCACAGAACCAAACCACATTTTCCCATCCCGGTGCCTTACATGTTTCTATGGGAATTACATATGGAGCAACGGCATTGATTTTTCTTTGGAGCCTGCTTTCTCAGCCTCACTGGATGAGAATTATTCGATTAATTCCAGGCCTAATGTGGGATCTCTTCTGAAGCGCCACTGATATGTTCTTCGTTTAATAACATCGATGTGCATTCGCCGTCAGTTGCGGATATATTCTCATTCTTCAGCATGTTTCCTTTTCCGTCTTATGCACCTCATCTTGTCGATGTCGCTTGTTCTTCTTTCTCTGGGTTTTGCTATGCAATAGATATCTCTTTCCTTCGTTACAAGCTTTTCGTATAAGTCATTGTATACTATCGGTTACGACATTCTTCGCTTCGTTCTTGAATATAGCATTTCATATTCAAACAACCGGTGCAGACCATAAACTGAAAAACAAAGTTGTGCAGTTATCGTTTCAGTTGCTTTAGAAAGTCCTGAGATTATGCTGAATCATCATTGTATGTTATATCCACAGTTGCTCATTTATCTTGTGGTATTAACAACAAAGATTAAATTATCCTTATTCGTGATTAACGAGCATCACCACTGTATAGTCTTGATGCCCACGCTCGTCTGTCTCGTGCGATATGTCGCCACAAGTTTCCGTATCTTTTTTCAGCTCATCGCTTTTCTGTAGTACTAAATACCCTAAAGCTTTTTACGTTTAATCTATATCTTTGAGCGTGCGACTCATTCAGCACTTTCGGCTGGATCGGTTCTACCGATGCGAGAACACTCGACGAAAGTTTCCACTATGTTGGACACCCTGTGGTGATTTTTAGGCAAGTAAGCAGTGGGTCACGCAAATACAACCACAATGCGCACGCGTCGGGCATCATGGCTATAAGCATCGCCTGCGACAAGGTCTGCCATGTTAATACAGCAGAGCACGATGCCGTAGCCATCCTTCACAGGTCAGCTGCCTGTTATTCGTTTCTGAACCACTTGTACCGCAGCACAGTGAAGTAAACATTTTCTTGAAAGGGGTTAGCAGTAAGTTAAGGAGAATTTACACCGCGATAGAACTTGAACCTACTTGTCCAATGCGTCTCCTCACTGGTCTCGATTAGCCTCAACAAAACGGCGTACTGCTCTCGTGCAGTTTTAGCGCTTTACACCTTGTGCTGATTAGCACCAGTAGTTCCCAGTTTCCTTCCCGCAGAGTGGTACTCATTTGTGAATCTTTGTAAGCCCCAGAAAGGGGCTCGAACTCAGAACCTTTCGGTTCTAAGTCCGACGCTCTACCGACAGAGTAATCCCGCTGAAGTGGTAAATTCTTTGCTCGAGGGAATTCGTGGTAAGCACAAAGATTGCCTGCCGCAGGAATCGAAGTCAGCATCTCTGGAGTTCGAAGCCGACCTCTTAGGCACTGTACCGCCACACCACCTTCTATGACTACATCAAAATCCATGCTGTCCCCGCTTTGGCGAGTCAGCGACTTGCTACCCGTTTCTCTACTGGTTATATCGAAGCAACGTAGAATGAACTCATCGCTCAAAAGAAATAACGGTTAAGAGAAATTTGGTCTGAACCCGGCAACGGCGAAGTTATAAGCCTATTTGTCACCACTGTCACCGTCTCCCTTTCCCTAAAAAAACTACTTGAAAATCATTGAGGGTTATCCGAAGCGTCGGGCAACTTTCTAAACGTTAAAACTGTTCTAAACAAGTCTGCTAAAAATTGAAATTATCTCGTCTTTCTAACCTTATATTCTAAATTTTTGCTTCTGTATGTTACTGATTTTTTGCAGAAGTACACGCAGACTGACTGATTGACGAAGATGTACATGATTTAAAAAAATAGCATATCATTGGAGTTTGCAACGTTTCATCGTTTAGAGGTGCCACGCTCACCTTTCGTCGTCAAATGACTTGCGTGCGTTGTTTCATGACGTAGAGGCGGCGAGCGGTGCCAGTCGTCGTTGGTGAGATTGACTGATTGATTGGTGGCAGAGGAATGCTTCTAAGGACGGAATCCACGATTTGAGAAAATATGAGGATCGTAGTACAGGCGACAACTGATCCTTCTTTTCAGCCAAGATCTTTTGTTCGGCAAGGACACATCGAAGTATTAATTATCGAATCCTGCGAAACTGTCAACCTAGACAAAGGATACCTACATTATACGGATTAGACAAATCTTGTCAAGCCTGTAGCCGAAAAATTACTTAATGAGCAGCATGGGCAAAAAAGCGCACTTGTAGGCTCCAAACGTTACAACTGCGGACCACGGAACGAGCAGCGGAAATCAACTCTGTCTACTTGAAGAACCATGAAACACGAACCGAAACTTCGGTGCCGACTAATTACCAGATTGATCAATATGTTTGCGTCGTGTATGAACAAACCGCATTTATAAATAGTTGTCAATATTACATCGTAGACGGAAACATTCCTCTCTGAAATCTACCTCTCCCTTGTTCCCCCATGTTGCATGCTGGCCTTCCGGTCGACGTCTGCCGTGTTACGGCTACGGCACGATAAGCTTAACGACAGGAGCAAACCTATATGCTCAGCCGGTTCATATAGCAGGGAAAGCTTTGTTTTATAATCCCCGCATCAATTGAGGTCAGCCGTGCCTGAAAGAGTACAATCATTCCTTACGCGGTCCTGCATTTAATCTTCATTATGAGTCGAGGCCAATATGCGATTCGACCGTCGATTCTGCTCCTTCGCTAACACAACCGTCTCCATGTCGAACAACAACACTGACTTGACCGAGGCAAGGTAAAGACGGATTTTTGTTAAAAGAGTTACTCTCAGCCCAAATATTGCGCAGGTTTCCGAAAACACTCTATGCTAAAGTGGTTCTCCTATTTAACACTGATATGACGCCATCGCTAAATATGATGGAGCCGAAATAGTTAAATGGCTAACCTGCTAAAATGCGTCATCTTCCTGTTTTACTTGTAGATCAGCTGTGCCTGGTGATTTCCTCATAACTTCCTACCTCCTAGCTTTAAAGAAGAGGCCGGCTTTCGCGGCTGTGTCGCATACGAAAGCTGTCATGTAACAGAGCCACTTATCAGCATTATCAATCTTGCAGGTCAGCAAGATATTCAGCCGGATATCTTGTACTGCGCCTTCCATTTAGAATGGGACCTTCGCTTTTGCCAGGGTCATCAGTGTTTCGGAGAAGAAAGTGGAGAACAACGTTCAACAGAAACGGCGTATGCACATCGCTCTGGCAAATCCGACAGTTAATAGGGAATCAGTCAGGTACCTCTTCTTCATCCTTGACGGAAGAAATGGGTCCTACATACATCTCTTCTAAACGATCAGCTCATGTATTCCATAGTATTTCAAGATTTTCAACAGTATCGGACGATGTGTTGAATTAAATGCAGCTTTAAAGTCGGGAAAACTAGCAAAAGAACTTTCGGCAACAAAGCAACCGAACGGTCGCCAGTGCTTAATGATCCTATGCAGAGTGAAAATTTTGTCGGGGCATACTTCAGTCCTCCATCGAGAAGTCTACTTGATTTGGGCGAAGTTTCCCGTCAACTCCATAATTCAACCATTCCAAGATAATCCATGAAACAAGTTTTCCGGGAGCTGATTGTAGTGTGATACCATGATAACTGGAGAATTCGGTCGCCTGACGTAATAGAGACAATTATCCCACACTTAACGGGAGACTTCCTCCTTCAAGAGATCCACATTTGATGAAATAGGACATGGAGCTTTCCTACCATTCCCGCTCATCCATACTTGACTGACTCCAGAGGAATTCGATCAGCTCCACAGGCCTTCTTCATCTTGAGGTGTAGTAAGGATTCTTAGATATCTAGTTCTCTGGGCGGATCTGAAACAAACTATAGTTTTTTACCCTGAAAAACGCGTGTCGGACGTAAGCGCGTAAGTGCACAAATGCGTAATGTGCAGGAGTTTCATTTAACCGAAGCCTACCGTGACGAAGAAATCTCACGCATGAAAATGCTTTAAACTCTTAGCTTTGCCCTATTAGAAGTCGTTCCTCAACTTTAGGATGTATTCGTTTAGAACAACCCTCTTCACCTGATACCAATCACTGACTACTGGAAAAACAGTATCCTTGGAACACTACGAGGCACTGTCGAGCAAACCCGAAAATTTGTGACGGTATGATAAACGCGTGCTGTGTGAATGCCAACATCTTAGACATGACATCACGCATTTCAGCGAACAGCGGTTTAGCATCATGTCACAGTAGTTCATCACTTTCGTGAGGGATAAGGTCACATATACATTTCGACCGAATGTTACTGTGTTAAATTTTGACAGTGCGAGGCAGTAAAATCAAATGTACGTTAAGTTCAATAGACTCCCTCAAGCATACGGCCCAACATACGCACGTAACAAGGAATTTAATAGACCAGATGGGCCGATGGCTGGATTACGATTATTTTCAGAGCTTTATCTGTTTTAGTCTGGCTGTCATTTTTTGTATCTACTTTACGCACATACGAGTCTCATTTTTGCTGTACATCGACATTTTTTAGTGGTGCGATTAAGGCCGATAAATTTTCAACTTAAAAAATGCGAACACCGTCATTTATTTCTTCAGTTTTTTAAAAGCATCACCGACAGCTACTGTCGTTCAGTTGACAGCTGATAGTCAAAAATAAATCAACATAAAAAATAGAATAAAATCATGGTATGAAAATTCTTACAATATGGCAAGCAGGACGGAAAATGTCGCCAGCTTGAAGAGCTGAATGCACAAGCGAACGGGAACGAGAACGAGTTAGCCGACCAGTCGCTGGCATCCGTTCGAATACTAATCAGTCACACAATATACAGCATTGCAGTAACTCTGAAAGACGTGAACTCATTGCGTCCAACGAACTTATGTACGACCAATTTCCGAAAATTCGTTAAATCACAAGGAAATTATCCAAAGATTCAAGTGATGATTTGCCGTCTGAACGTTTCATCGCATCAGTTTTCAAATCTGTTCCAAAAAGCGGCTATCACGAAAAGGACAGAAAATAATTAACATATAGAACATCACCGGCGTATCGGTCGATGGTTTATAGTCAAGTTAACAACACGATTTACGATGACATCGCCTCAGTCTCGGCTCTCGGGTTGACGAACGAACGCACCACCTCTGTGATCAGATCCGGTCGCTGTCGCAATATCATTTGCCAGCCGGGGGTCTGTGTGATCGGAGACGAGTGCGTGACGAAGAACTCGATCGCTTTCTCCTTCAGGCGACTAGCCGAATGAGTGTCGGCCATGATCAGCAGGTCGCAAGCGTTCTCGGTGTTCAATGCCGAGATCAGCGCCTTCTCACATCGTAATTTCAAATCCGGCAGGCTGTACTTATCGGCGGCCACCAGTAGGTCGGCGCCCAGCTCACCAATCTTGTCGCATCGGCCGCAATACATGTAGTTGATCATCTCCAAGGCGACGTCGAAATCCATGTCCTTGATCGTCAGCTTACCCTGAAACGGAAGCTTTCGCAGTAATCCCGACGCACATGCGCAAGATCGGCCAAACAACGCTGAACGACGAACGTACGGAAACGCACGACCGAACGCCTAGCGCCATCTGAGCTGTATGGTACTCTACCGCAACGAAAGAGTACCGTTTGATTATATTACGCAATCAAAAACTCTGATTTTAAAGTGTTACAGAAAGCAGACAAAAAAGATTATGCAACGAACACCAGTAAATATAGAAAAATGGCAAGACCAATGATCTGGTTAATTTTCGCAACTTAATCCAAAAATTATTTCCCAGCTAATAGCGCTGTTTCATATTCAGAGTTATGAATATAATCCAGAAACCAGAAACGGTTACATCGTTTGACTCTGTGGTTAGTAAACAAGGCAAGAAAAGTGTTTCAAAGTAGGCATCCTACGTAGAACTTTTCCACCGGTTCTAAGCACTAGGTCTGAACAGAATATTATGAACAATCATTGTAATTACAGACGTAGCTAAATTTTCCCGAAAGAAATATGAAAAAAATTAACAAAGAGGCAGTGGAGCAGGTGGAAAAGTTTAACTACCTCTGAGTCGTATTTACTAGTGAAGGAAAATTAGAGGAAGAGATCGACAGACGAACTGGAGTAGCCAGTGACATTCTGTGTGAACTAGCCCGATCCAATATGACTAAAGCAGAGCTCAGTCTGAAAACTAAGCTTTCGGTTTTCAAGTCGATCTTTATCCCCATACTAACCTACGGTCATGAATCATGGACCATCACTGAAAACCTTCGAACCCGGGTACGAGCTGCTGAAATGGACTTTATGAGACGAGTTGCTGGCCTTACGTGTTTTGATACGGTTCGGAATACTGATATCCGGGAGAGCCTTGGTATACAGCCTTTGCTTCTCCAGATTGAAAGTCATCGCTGAAATGGTGTAGACATGTGTTGCGAATGCCTCCAGAAAGGAAGGCCAAGCAATTCTTTTCTTACGAAAAAAACCAGCAGAAGGCCCAGGGGACGGTCAAGATTAACCTGGTGGAAATATATGGAAGGAGTCTATTCCAGACTTCAATTGTATTCTGTCCAAACTTAGACTCTGGCACAGGATCGGTAACATTGGAAGCTCTGTCTGACGCGTCTGCCACCGCGGCCCGAAAGGGGAGGCGGCCATGGAAGATGAAGATGAAGAAGATGAAGAAACATGAAAAAAACGTCGAGTCAAAAATAGTACTTAACGCGCCAGCGTTATTCGCACGTAATCTGTCAGCGGTCTTCCGCAAGGACGACAGCCCGCCAAGTGCATACGTGCTCTTTCCTCAGTCACGCTCGGTCAAATGTTGAACAAGTACAAAA